ATTCAACTCGTAGGGGCATTACAGGACATATAAGTCTAAATGTACATGTTACAACTAAAGCTACCGAGACTAAACTGCGGTCTAAATCTGGCCTCAAGTCCTCCAGACTGGCCCATCACTAAAACACATAATACAAATCGCGAACCTCGTTCATAGAATCACAAGTCGATGATGCACAGCTGATACCGAGTGCTCATGTGCGCATACGAATGCGTGGAAGGAATTCAAAGAGTTATGTCTCAAGCTGAATCAATTCCGCACGATAAGGAAAGAAAGATGGGAAGTATATATCCTAAATGCTCTGTAGCCTCTCGAAGATAGGTATGGACATCATCATACCGATCCGCAAGACTCTACTAAACACTTGCTCGTGACTTGTAGAACCTATGAACCTAGAGCTCTGATACCACCCTATCATGACCGAAAATTCAACTAGTCGTGATGGCACCTAACCCAACCCATTAGGTAAGCCAACTATCCACTATCCAAATCCAATGTAATTTAACACGACAATTAAGTAAAAGGAAATATCTAAATCTTATACATTCCCCAAGCACTGGTAGTACAAATCATGGGCTTATAAGAACAGAGTTTACAAAGATGGTATGAAGTAAATACATCATCTGTTTGAAAAGTACATAAACAGAGTTTTATGAATCTAAGGCTACCATGAACAAGAGGTAGCTACCAAAGGAAGAAGCTCAAATGGGACTGCTTGGATTATTATTGGGACGAGCCATATCTTTTCAAAATTTGCAATGATGGTCTTATTCGGAGATGTGTTCAGGAAGAAGAGCAATTGAGTATTCTTGAAGCTTGCCATTCCTCGCCCTATGGTGGTCACCATGGTGGGGCGAGAACTTCTACAAAGGTCTTAAGATGTGGATTTTATTGGCTTACCTTGTACAAAGACGCTAGCGGGCTCGTTAGGCATTGTGATGAGTGCCAAATAGCAAGTGGAATTTCCAAGAAGAATGAAATGCCTCTCACCACCATCCTGGAGATTGATATTTTCGACATGTGGGGCGTCGACTTTCTGGGACCATTTGTGAGTTCATGTGGGAACACTTATATTCTTGTTGTTGTGGATTATAATTCCAAATGGGTTAAAGCTGTGGCTTTTCCCAACAATGAGGCACGAAGTGTGGTGGCTTTCTTAAAAAAAATATCTTCACAAGGTTCGGCACCCCAAGGGCTATCATTAGTGATGGGGGTTCTCATTTTTGCAACAAAGCCTTTGACACTTTACTTTTCAAGTATGGTGTCAATCATAAGGTGTCAACCCCCTATCATCCCTAGGCAAGTGGACAGTTTGAAGTCTCCAACAGGGAGATCAAGAATATTCTATCCAAGACTGTCAATGCAAATCGGACTGATTGGTCAAGGAAAGTTGACGATGCTTTATGGGCCTATAGAACAGCTTACAAGACTCCAATTGGTATGTATCCATACCAGTTGGTATTTGAGAAAGCATGTCATCTTCCGGTTGAATTAGAGCACAATGCCATGTGGGTGCTGAAGAAATTGAACCTTGAATGGGATGTAGCTGCCAATCTCCGGGTAGAGCAACTAAATGAACTTAATGAGTTCCGGTTCCATGCTTATTCCAGCTCGTCCTTGTATAAGGACAAGATGAAGTACTTACAGGATAAGTATATTCGGAACAAAGAATTCAAGGAAGGTGACTTGGTTCTTCTATTCAGCTCTCGGTTACGGATGTTTCCGGGAAAGCTCAAGTCGAAGTGGAGTGGTCCTTTCAAAGTGGTACATGTGACTCCTTTCGATACTCTAGATTTGAAAAACAAGAATGGTGAGATCTTTAGAGTCAATGGGAACCGAGTGAAGCACTACCTTGGCAAGATTGATGATAACCACGTTGTGGCATTGATCCATTTCAAATGATGATGGTAACATGCATCGTGCCGCGACGTTAAATCAGACACTTCTTGGGAGGTAACCCATGTGTTTTTCTTTCTTTTGATTTTCTTCGTAGATTAGACATTGTTTTGGACTAACTGGTTGTGAAGTATATGTAGGAATTGGTTGTGCAGTGCAGGAAATTGACAAGGAAAAACAATTGGCTAAGTGGTGAACTTTCACGGACCGCGCTCAAAATTTTGCGGACGGCATGAGCACTTCGCGGCCGCACCATTCTGTGCGCGGTCATGCAGCTGAAATGGGTAAAATACCAACTCTATGAAGTTAGCCTGTCAAAATTCCTTCAGAGTTCGCGACCGCGTTCAAATTTTCACGGTCCGCACAAATTGTGCGGGCGCAACTAGTTTTTCGCGGACCGCACCCGTGCATTTGAGGCAGATCTACATAAAGGTAAAGAGTGTAGACCGCGACAAAAATTTGCGACCGCACTCAGGTAAGGCGGTGGGTCATTGGGTTCTGAGTATAAATAGGAGTTTTTAAAACTTTTCACACTTTACGAACCCTAACCTCTTAAACTCACCTAAAGCACTGTGCATCCTTACTTAGTTTCAAACTCATCCTATTCTCATCAATTGTCGATTTCCTACCACATTTTACAACTGGTATGTTCATTTCAATAATTTGATTTTATCTTTTTCTGTTCTTTTCTCTTTGTTTTAATTTTTCTTTTTAGATAGGGTTATAATCATGCCAAAATGTCAAATTAATGCTTAATGTTTTATTAACAACATATGGGTAGTGTTTGTATGTACAATGGGGGTTGGGGTTAGTAACTTTGCATGTTTAATTGCCACAATTCTTGGGTAATTAGTGAAAACATTAGTTTTAAGTGTTCATCAGTGCCGATTTATTTTGAATTCCGCGGCCGTGGTCATTTTTCCGCGGTCCGCGATAGGGTATGAAGTCACGTCCAAAATTATGCGGTCCGCGATACCCTAGCTTCAAGGCACTGATGGTTGTTTAGAATTCGTGGCCGCGGTCACTTTTGTGCGGTCTGCGATTGATCTTTCGGGGCCACACTTAATTTTTCACGATCCGCGCGTTTGAACTTCAGAGACTCTATCATTTGCCTTCGCGACCTCGTTCATTTTTATGCGGTCCGCGATTGGTCTTTCGCGGCCGCACTCATTTTTGTGTGGTCCACGGTTGATCAAGTTCAGAGAACCAGTAGTCTGAGCCTGGTCTCTTCGCGGCCGCATTCACTTTTACGTGGTCCGCGATTGGCAGTTCGCGAGCGCACTCATTTTTGTGCGGTCCGCAATGCCCTGTTCTGAGAAGCATTGTTTTTAATTTCATCTGTACTGCTTTATCACATGATTGAACCCCAATTCTAACGGTCTTTCACTACTTGTGTGTTGCAGAAAATGGTGCGTTCTCGTGGGAGAGGAAACACTTCAAAGGGGAGGGCAGAATCCTCCTGAGGCCGGGTAAAGGAAAGCAAACCTTACCCTTATTAGCCCAAAGGGTAGTAGGCAAAATGGCTACCCTCGTTAGACCTCCTACCGACTCCTCTGACACCAGTGAATACCTCCCATCCCGAGAAATGTCTGAGGGGGATTCTGTACAACCACAACCGGGGGCACAATCACAATAATTCCCCGACAGATTCCATTTAGTCGATGAACCTACCTCCTCCTCTAGTTCTTCTAACGGCTTAGAGGGAGTTAGTAAGGCATCCGAACCATCTTCCCCACCTGCTACAACAACTGCCCCAACAGCTACCCTAATCATTTTAGATGAGGATGATGAGGTCCCGGATGACGGGAGAGGGGGTGACATAATTATGGGAGGCCTGGCTAGATCAAAGAGGCCAGAGGTGTGGGCTGATAGATTTATAAGTGAGAAGGCATATGGAAAATTTCGGGAATGGTGGCCCCAAAGGTCGCTCACTCTTGAGCGGCAATTCATAACCAAAGACCTAAGCCAGCACAATCCGAATGTCCAACGGTAATTTAGGGAGAGAAAAATATGGAAATGGTTCACCTGTCGGATGCATGATGCAAATGAATACCTTGTCAAGGAATTTTATGCCAATGTTGCCCACATCAAAAAGGGTACAAAGGTGACAAAGGACCGGAACATGAAAATACAGTTTGATGGCCACGCACTGAACACATATATAGGGTTTGAGGATGTTGAGGCAGTGCAATACTTGGAGAAGCTAGCATTGGGTGATGCAGTTCGCCCATGGCTAGCTGAGATACTTGCTATTCCGGGGACAACACATGCATGGCTCACACCAGGAGTTAAAATTATCAGAGCCACCCTTAACTTTGAAGCAAAAGGGTGGGAAACATTCGTGCGCAGCCGTCTTGACCCGTGCCAACATGAGAATGTCCTTCCACTCCCCGGGCAGTATTGGTAGCTTCCATCATGTCCGGCTATCCTATTAATATGGGAAACTTGATGTCCTACAACATCTCCAATGCAGTCCAAAAAGAAGAGAGATCGTATCCCTACCCCAACTTTCTCACAGAGTATTTCCAAGACCAAGGGGTAGAACCGAGACATTTTGATGAGGCGGTGAAGGATAAAAAGCCTTTCTCATGGTACCACCTCCAGGGAGCGGACAACCCTAAATTCAGGGGTAAAGCCACTACCTCCACTGGCCCGTTTAAAGAGCCAGGGGTAGTGGCGACCAGATCAGTTGCCGAGCCCTCCACATCAACCGATACTTCTGCCGGAGCAGCTACCATGCCTTCTCCTTCCTCCGAACCTTCCCTCTCAGTGCCACTGTCAGTGCCCACATGTTCTACCTACCCTCAGACTGCACTGCGGGTTTCACAGACACTATCCAGTCTCAACAATTAGATGCAGGCAGCTACCACAAAGCTGACTGCCATATCCAGTGCAGTGAGAGCAAAGTCTTCAGCCCCATCAGAGCTTCAGGTACCTCCATCAGTGGAGGACTCTTTGAAGAAGATTCTGGACGACCAGAAAAAGATCCGGGGGACTCTTGATACACATGGGAAGATTATCAAGGATTTGGGGAAGAATGTGAAGAAGACGAGGAAGACTCAGGCCTCAAAGGAGTCAGTGAAGATGCTGAAAAAGGAGGTAGATTAGATTGCCTCTGCTGGAGATATCCTATTGGACCTGATCATGGAGGAGACAGCCCCAACAGCACAGGCAGCAGAGCATGAGGCATCAGATGCAGCAGCTGGCCAGTCTGAGGAACCGGCTGCCACTACACATATTGCTGAGGAGATGATCCAGATGCTCAGCAATCCCGTGGCCCCCCGGTCAGAGGATGTGGAGATCCAGTTAGAGGACGGAGGGAGCTGATAATCCTATGCAGTCTGAGGACCCCACTCATGTTCCTGACCCGATGCAGACAGAGACCACATAGGGAGTTCTCTTTACTCTCTAACCTTTCCCTGATCTTATTTTGATATTAGCATTGAGGACAATGCTATTTTTTATTTGGGGGGGGGGTCTATTTTGATTTGATTTGTGATGACATTTGGTATGTAATATCTATGATACTATTTTTCTTTATCTTTATTTACGGTTATTTTCACTTTTGGTATGTATATAATTTTACCATTCGATGTATATATTCATTTCCATTATGTATATATTCGTTTACTCCATTTTGTATATATTCAGTTTACTTTCCGTAGTTTACTTCATAATTTCTTTCGTTATTTTTCCTTAATAGCTTAGCTTCTTATTTCCTCTAGTAGCTTCTTTTTAAGTTTTTATCTTCTTTTTACATTTTATGTGAACAATAAGTCTTTGGTTTTCTTAATGCCACGGTTCTTTCCAAAGGTGGATGTTGTGTGAATCGGGTGGCTCTTCCCAACGATGGATGGCGTGATAACCTTCTTAAGGGATCGTGTCTGTTTTCTTTTTATTTTGGTGTATATAGTAGTAGTAATGAATAAAAGTGTCTCAAGCAGGCTTCACTTGGTACTAACACATTTACCTTCGACCTCATGGTTAGAGACAAGTTGATTGGCAAAGATTAGCTCTAGTTGTGACCTTTAGACTCTTGAGTTGACTAAAACAATCATCGAGTGGTTTCCTTGAGCCATATATTTAATCTTAGCTAGGGTTGTTGTGGGCCCTTGACTCTGTTCTCTTTAACAATCCAGCAGCTTGAGAGGTGAGGTATTGAATTGCAAGTCCAAGTCCCGTGCCAATAAGTCTAGAACTTGCCCTGAATGTTTGTCTAGGCGAAATTCTAAGTGTAGCTCGACTTGAGAAATGATTGTAGGCTCTCCTTGGTCCAATTTGAACTTTGAAAGCTTCCGTAGCCTAACAATATGATATCCCTAGTCAACCCCTTTGAGCCTAAGCCTTTTTCATTCAATAGCCACATTACAAGCCTTTATCCGTTCTATAATGACCCTCTCTTGGCACCCAATCTTTCCTTAGCATTCATGATGAAAATTTGGCAAAAGCATAAGTTTGGGGGAGAGACAAGGAATTTGAAAGTGATAAAAGGTTCAAAGAAGAAAAAGAATTGATGAAAAGGAAAGGCAAAGAAAAGGAAGAAAAGCCAAAAACAATACGTGAAAAAGAAAGTGAAGGTTGAAGGGATTCAAAGAACGCAATGATGAAAGGCATGGAATGATGAAAAAAGGAGAAAAATGATTGTCATGAGTAAGATAGATTGACGATGTATCTCTCTAGTTCCCCTAAGGACGAAGAAAATGACTCAAAGAGTTAAGAAAGTATGAGCCGAAATGAGAAAATAGAGTGCTTAAATAAAGATGAAACCATCATAGTTCGATAAGTCCTACCTTGATCCAAAAGCCTTCATTACATCCCATTAAAGCCCTATATGATTTTAAGTTGAGTGAGCTTACATAAGTGCTGATTTACATAAGGGGCAAGCTTATGGTACTTAGAGCCGGACTTGTGGCATTCTTTTGAGAGTGATGAGTGCACTTCTTCACAGTCCTTGTTTTGAGTGGTACATTCTAAAAAGTGAGATTTGCTCATGGAGAGTAGAGGAGGAGGAGTTTGGGATCCACAATGACCTACGTGATAGAGCGAGCTTCCTTGATGAATTGAGTCAACTATTGATGCTCTAGTGTCACATTAGAATTATAGTACTCAAAAGGTCATAACATGATGTTATTGATAATTCATTTGTGTTGAGGGTAATTATTAGTCCCAATTGATGCTTGATGGAGTCACCTTAGGCCAACTGAAATATCCTTTTCTTTTTCTTGTGGAGGTGGGAATTACCCTATTTGCTCGAGGACAAGCAAAAGCTTAAGTTTGGGGGAGTTGATAAGTAGGGATTTAACATATTATTTGCTCTCTTTTTCTTGTGTTTAGGGCCAAAAATGCGTGAAGATATTCCCAGAAACTAATGTAATATTCTTGCTTGCAGGGATTATTTAAAATGAGTCAAAGGAGTCATAATCAACTCATAAAGGCGTAAAAACTTGAACAAAAACCAAGACTGGGCCAAAAGATGTGAAATGTCGACCGCACAAATATTTTGCGGCCGCGAAAGCTACAACGCGGTCGCGAGCACTATTTCGAGGTCCGCAAAAGGAAGATTCAAAGAGATAGAATTTTGGGCCAAAACATCAACGCGGACCGCGTCAGAAAGGTGCGGTCGCGAAAGTACCTGCGCGGCTGCAATTGGAATTATGCGGACCGTGGTTGATGAGGTTCAGAGAGCTTACATTTTAAGCAAAAACAAGAAGTGCGGTCCGCGTCAAGATTATGCGGCCACGGAAGTCTCCTATGCGACCGCAATGGAAATTACGCGGTCCGCGAAACCATGCTCAGCCCAGATCCAAAAGTGAAGAACTCGGACCGCGATCAGAATTACGCGGCCGCTAAAGCAAGAGTACGGCCGCGGTCAGAATTACGCGGCCGCGTAACCTCCGCAGGTGTATTTTTGTCCGAAAATTTCAGCTTAGTATAAATAGAACTTTTTGTCATTTTTAGAAAGGATGGTGTATTTGCTGAGCACGTGAGATGGCTGGAACTTCCCTTTTTGGGAAATTTTATATATTAGATTCGCCTTATAACATTAGATTTTCATCTTTTAATCTAGTATTATGAATTTTATCTTCTTTTCATCTTTGATTTCTGCTATTTCTATGAGTAGCTAGATCCATAGCTAGGGTTGTGATCCAAACCTAGTGTGGGAATTTAATGGGTACTGAATTTTAGGGCTTGAATGTTTATGAGTTAGTGATATTTAGCCTAGTTCTTGCTAGAATTGTAGAATTAATGGTTGCAAACACTGATTCATGCCTTTATGACTTAGTCTCTTCTTGAGAAAGAGGGACTAAGTCTAGAAAAACTAGGCTAACAAGGAATTGGGGTGAACTCAAGAAATTGATAGCCCCAATTAAAGGGTTAAACCTAGAGATAGTAATACCCGACTTGAGCTAATATCACGTGACTTGCATGAATACCCATTTGGACTTGAGAAAGCCAAATCTGGCAAAATCACTCAAACTATCGAGAGTTATAGAGTGACTACTTGGGTGTGATAGCTATATTACGACCCCAAATTAATCAATCTTGCCCTAGATTCTTGCTACCCGTTAGATATCCACCTAGGCGGCAGTCACTACCCTAGTCCTTTTAAACACTTGAAAACCAACATCAAAAAGATATTGTACTTAGCTTTAATCGTTGCATGCAATAGAATAGAATTAGAAGTAGAATCAAAACCAAAATGTGTGGAAGCATAATTAGGAACAAAACACGCATATAGACTTAGACATAAACCTAATTCCAAATAAATTAACTCCCTGTGGATTCGATCCCGACCTTGTTGGGTAAAACTGCATCGACCATCCTCGCTACTCAATAGTAGTGCAGGGTTGGACCCGATCACAAACCTGCATTAAAATTAACATATGTTAAAAATATATTCAACAATTCAAACAAATATAAAGTAATTAATTACTTACCCAGTAGTCCCATCAGGAATGATAATTGGTCTGTGAAGAGCATCGTATGTTACGACATCTTCAAAAGTCTGAGTCTGTGTACCATCAGAAGCAGGTGAAGATGTATCAATGGATGGGGAGGACGGTATGGTAGAGCCTCCAATATGCGTCCTAGAAATGCTAGGAGTGGATGATGATGGAGATGAAGATGGAGTCATAGATGAGAGACCACCATTCTGACTAACATGGTTGCTTGGGGATGGAGTCAATGATGATAGAGGCATTAAGAAGGATCCACCGTGCTGAGTAGTACGATAAGCTGGGGAAGAAGATGGTATAGTTTGCATGCTATGGGAGTTAGATATAGGCTTATATTGAACTGGATCACAAGGGGGCAAAGTGAAAAAGCCAGGTGGTAGTGCAGTCTGCTAAGGAGAAGGAGGACTCATAAAAGGCACAGATGAGGTAGTGGGACCTGAAGCATGCTGAGGAGGAGGAGGAGGACTCATAAAAGGCACATATGAGGTAGTAGGACCTAACGTATGCTGAGGAGGAGGAGGAGGGTGTATTGTCTTCTTTTTTTTACCAGGTGCCATCTGTGAAGACCCTATGTCTAAAGTGAAATCAATTAGGGAGTGGAGACCCTATGTTAGAAAAATGACTAGGGACTGAAGACCCTATGTTTAAAATAAAATTAACTAGGGAGTGGAGACCCTATGTTAGAAAAATGACTAGGGACTGAAGACCCTATGTTTAAAATAAAATTAACTAGGGAGTGGAGACCCTATGTTAGAAAAATGACTAGGGACTGAAGACCCTATGTTTAAAATAAAATTAACTAGGGAGTGGAGACCCTATGTTAGAAAAATGACTAGGGACTGAAGACCCTATGTTTAAAATAAAATTAACTAGGGAGTGGAGACCCTATGTTAGAAAAGCGACTAGGGAGTGGAGAACCTATGTCTAAAAACTTCTACTAGGGAGTGGAGACCCTAAGTTGGAAAAGAGATACTAGGGAGTGGAGACCCTATGTCTAAAATCAAATTAACTAGGGAGTGGAGACCCTATATTGGAACTGGCCCTCCAAGTCATGCCTCTCTTGCAAGATGAACTGGAAGATGTTCCATTACATCAAAAAACCCAGGAGGAAAATGTTTTGCCAACTTATTTAAAGTTAAGCAAATGTTACTCTCCATGTAAGATAGGTTCTCCACCTTCAATGTGGTAAAACACAACTCCTTGAAGAATAAACATATCTCAGTAATGGGTTTCCATATTCTATCAGACAAGGCTTTGAATGCAACAGGCATCAAAGATTTGAGGAAAATGTGACAATCGTGGCTCTTCATAGACGTCAACTTCCCTTCTTTCATGTCAACACACCTGGATAAGTTTGATGCGTATCCATCAGGCATCCTCAAATTCTTAACCCAATCACAAGTCTCTCTTCTCTCATCAAAAATGAATGTGTAACTGGCCTTGGGCTTTTGAATCTTGTTGTTCAAGTATGTCAGGTATAACTCACTTCGCCTACAATATTGCTTCAAGTTCATCCTAGCCTTCAAGTTATCTTTTGTCTTGTTATTAACATCCATTATAGTATTATGCCGAAGAAGATTATGCTTCTAATAAGGTAACTCCCAGAATATGCTCTCTTTAGTCCAATTATGTATACCACCATAACCAGGTATCTTATTAGACATTAGCGACTTTGTTACCTTAGGTAGAACCCTAACTCTATTCCAAATTTTTTCTAGCGACGATGCTGATAGTGGCTCCTCATAATCAGTTTGGTTCTTCATAAATGCACTAGTATTTCTCCTAAACTCATGATCCCTAGGCAAGAATCGCCGGTGGCAGTCAAACCATGTGCTCTTTCCTCCATGTTTCAACGTGAATGCTTTTGTGTCTTCCATACAAGTCGGGCAAGCTAACTTTCCCGCAGTCGACCATCCAGAAAACATTCCATAAGCAGAAAAATCATTTATAGTCCACATCAAAGCAGCTTGCAATTTGAAGTTTTGTTTAGTTGATATATCATATGTTTCCACACCTTCATGCCACAATAACTTTAACTCATCAATTAAACGTTGCATGTATACATCAATCAAACTTTTTGGATTGCGTGGACCTGGAATAATGCAAGTTAGGAACAAATAAGGACTTGTCATACACAACTCAGGAGAAAAATTATACGGTATAACAAATACTGGCCAGCATGAATAGGGTGCAGCAGAGACGGAAAATGGAGTGAATCCATCTGCACAGAAACCCAACCTAATATTTCTTGGTTCATTAACAAAATCCGGAAAAACCCTATCAAAATGCTTCCATGCTTCTCCATCTGATGGATGACATAGAATACCAAGTGGCCTTCTATTTTCATAATGTTGTCTCATATGAGGAGCAAAGCTCATTGATGCATACAACCTCTTTAACCTAGGTATAAGGGGTAAGTAATGCATTGCCTTAACTGGAACCTTCTTCTTTTGGAAATTTGTGACTTCCTTGTAACGAGGCTGGTTACAAAATTTATAATTTTCTAAAGCTGCATCATCCTTATAGAATAGCATGCAACATTTCTCACAATAGTCAACCCTCTCTGATGAAAGTCCTAACTTAGAAACCAATTTCTTTGTTGTGTAGAAATCTTTGGGCAGGTCAATTTTATTCAGATTAAGTTCATTTATAAGGCCAATGATAGAGTCCATGCCCGCTTGAAAAATACTCGAATCTGATTTAATACTTAATAATTTAACCACAACAGACAACTTAGAATGCAGTGAGTCTTCATACAATGGCCGACTAGCTTCCTGTAACTGTTCGTAGAAGCGCTTAGCATCATCATTTGGTTCAGACTGAGCCCCCGGGTGCATCACAAAAGCATCCCTAACCATTTCATTGAATCGAGAATTTTTAACATTATTCTCTGCTAATGGACTACCCTCACTACCAAAAAAGTTTTGAAAATCGACATCACCAACGCTAGCAATATCCTCTCCATGAATAGTCCAAACGTAATAATTTTTCATAAATCCTTTTTTATAAAGATGAATTTTAACAACATATGGTTGTAATAACTTTCCACCCTTGCATTTCACGCAAGGGCACCTAATCACCCATTCACTGAGAAATTCATGAAGTGTTTTCGCTTTAGCCATAAATTCAGCAACCCCTTCTATAAATTTTTCCCTCAACCCACTACGCTTAGAATAAGTCCGATTATATATTCATCTACGATGTGCAAGCTCCATCTACCCAAAATAAATCCAAGATATCTAAAACAATAAATATAACTTAGTATTGTGCCAAACAATTTACTTATAAAAAAATTGGTTCTTTCAACGACAAAAATATATTTTATGGCCATCCTAGAATATTCAAGACTTCAAGAAATTTGTCAACCCATCCAAAAAGAATAAATAATAAATGGATAAGTGAAGCAAAATTAAGAATGAACTATTCAAATTATTGCAGTTGAAAAGAACCTGAGTTAAAAAAAAAAATATCAATCTTAAATAAATAGAATATATAATACATAAAAACAAAACTAACGAGACAACAAACAAACTTATCTCAAAACTCACTTGTCTTTCATTATCAAGATTTACCTAATGAGCAAAAATACTACAAACCAAGATTAAAATAAAAAAATTTAGTTAAGACAGTAAAATAAGCATTGAAGCATATTCAAAATAAGCATTGAAGCATATTCATGAATTTCACATGTTCTTTCAGAGCATTCAAATACAACATGTTACAAACGTAAAACTGGATAATAAGAAACCCCATAGACCTTTGTAGCAAAGAGACATTGGAGTTGTTCATTGTTAAAAAGTTCATCATGACTGTTCATTTTTAGGCATTCATTGAGAATTTCTCAAGGGTAAGAATTTTAATAGTTCTTAAAAGATGCTGGATATTTATAAACTTGGCGTTTATATAAGATATGAAGAGATCTTCTATCATCGTTAAAAAATAGTTGATAATTCATTTGTTTCTTTTTTTGTGTAGAGCTGATAATTTTGATGTAGAATATCCTTAACAAGGCAACAAGATAACTTGGTTTTATATATGACAGACCTTCAACCAACCTTATCTCAAAATTCAAGAATTGTCTATACCGAAGAGGGACTCATCGAATGAGAATTCATGACCTCCTAGGAGCTTTTATAAAGAGTTTCATCGTGCACAATAGTTATCGAAGTACAATTATGATTAGTTTTGTTCTTTATCCATACAAGAACAAGATTAAAGCACCAATATATGATCAGAAATTGATTAGCAAAACCTAACCGGCAAATTCTAATACAATCCCATATACGATTGCATAAACATAGTGCATTTTTCATGAAATTAAATGTAACGACCCGACCGGTCATTTTGAGAATTTACACTCCTTTCAATTATTTGAGGTTTTGCATAACTTTTTACGAGGTATTAATACTTGTGTGAATTGTCGGTTTTGGTTTTAAGGTATTTCAGAGTTAGTTTGGAAGAATGAATTTGATATTGGAAGCTTAAGTTGAAATAGTTGACCGGATGTTGACTTATGTGTAAACTACCCCGGAATAGAGTTTTGATGATTCTAATAGCTCCGTATGGTGATTATGGACTTAGGAGCGTGTCCGAAAAAATATTTGGAGGTCCGTAGTAGAATTAGGCTTGAAATGGCAAAAGTTGAATTTTTGGAAAGTTTGACCGGGGATGTGACTTTTTGATATCGGGGTCGGAATCCGATTCCGGAAATTAAAGTAGGTTCGTTATGTCATTTATGACTTGTGTGAAAAATTTGAGGTCAATCGGACTTGATTCGATAGGTTTCGGCATCGAATGTAGAAGTTGAAAATTTCATAATAGACTAAAGTTCAAGTGAGTTCGCACAAGACCCAACTTCAAATGAGCATAACTCTCATGATACGAAGTGTTATATGGTGTATTACCTATCAAATAAAATATCTTTGAACATTCCTATAAGAAGTTATGACCAAATTACCAAAGGCTGGAAAAATACAATTCTGCGACCAATTATGCAATCGCAAAACTGTTTCTGCGACCGCAAACTGGTCGCAGAATGGACCAGAAGAGCCCAGTTCTAGGCACTGATTTTGCGATCAACTTTGTGGCTCGCATACCCATTCTGCGGTCCATTATGCGACCACAGACCTGCTTTCGGAGGGTTAATTTTTCTATTTTAATAACCCGAACCCATTTTGATAAATAGGCTTTGGGACTCATTTTTGAGCAAAAATCTGAAATTTTTAGAGAGAAGGGAGAGTGTTTTAGAGAGAGGAAGAAGCTCAAGTACTTTGTTCATCAAGATCTTGTTCAAGCTTTGAAATCCAACAAGGAAATATCACAAGATCTTCACCCAAGAGGTAAGGTTCTAACCCCTAGTCTTCAATTTCGAGTTTGGATAAAGATGAGTGATTAAGAGTATGATTCTTGGGTGTAATAGTATTATTTATACATATCAATAAGGTTTATGGAAAGATTGTTGAGTTTAAATGGGTAAAGATTGGGTTAAAAATGGTAGAAATATTTAAAGACTTTAATTGAAGATTTGAGGGTTGAGTTGATGTCGGAATTTGGTAAAATTTGTATGGTTGGACTCGTGGTTAGATGGGCGTACATATTTTATAACTTTTGTCGAATTCCGAGACATGGGCCCCACGGGCGATTTTTGAGTTAATTTCGAATTTTATTGAAAAATTAGTATCTCCTTATGGAATTAATTACAATAATTGGAATTGACTCAATTGAATTAATTGTGGCTAGATACGAGGCTTTCGGAGACCAATTCTCGTGGCAAGGGCGTAGCGGAATAAAGAATTACATAGTTTGAGGTAAGTAACAGTTTTAAATTTGGTTCTGAGGGAATGAAACCCCGGATTTTGTGTCATGTGATTATTTTGGAGGTGACGCACATGCTAGGTGACGGGCGTGTGAGCATGCACCGAGGAAATTGTGACTTGGTCCATCCCGTGAAAACTGTAAAGCTCAATAACTTGTTGATAGTTATGTGCTCTCTGTATGTTGTGGAAACTTGACTATAAGTCATACTAGAAACTATGTTTAGGCTAAATGTTGGTATTGTTGGGACCCACAGAGGTCGTGTACATGTTGAATTATCTACTTAAATTGTTGTTTCGTACTCAGTCACAACTTACTTGATTTTTTTATATCAGTCTCTATTGTTCATTATTGATGTATCATATCATTGTTGTTTGGGCTAATTTTATGATTGTTGAGAGCCCAAGAGACTAGAGATCTTTATGACTGAGTGAGGCCGACGACCTGATTGTGAGATATTATACTATAGCACGTGAGTTGGTCGTGCAGCACGTGAGTTCTCCATGCGTATCCTTATATTATGCTATAGCACGTGAGTTGGTCATGCAACACGTGAGTTGTCCGTGCGAATCCTTATATTATACTATAGTACGTGAGTTGGCTGTGCAGCATGTGAGTTGACCGTGCGGATCCAGATATTTATATTATGGCATGTGATTTGTCCGTGCAACACGTGAGTTGTCCGTGCAGATTATTGCGCTTGGGCTGTAGGAGCCCCTCCGGAGTCTGTACACTCCCAGTGAGCGTGGGTACCCATTGAATGTGAGTGATGAGGGCTGGGAGCCCAGTGAGTGATTGTTGTCCGAAAGATTGTACATGATTTTCATTTGTTATTGCACTTAGTTGCTATATGTCATTCTTGTAAAATCTTTGAAAGATTTTATATACGGATTACATGAACAGGAACTGTAATAAAAAATTGATTTGACATTAAACTACCAGATTTGAAAGCATGTCTATTCTTTGCTGGAATTACTGAATATGAACTGTAGATGTGTAACTCGTCACTATCTTCAGTTCCTTATTCATTATTGTTACTTATTGAGTTGGTTGTACTCATACTACACCCTGCACTTCATGTGCAGATCCAGGTATTTCCAATCATAGCGGGTGTTGATTCTCTCACACAGTTGACGTTTTTTGGAGATTCAGAGGTAGCTGCCGTATTTCGCAGACCTTGTCTCTTCTTCCATATCTCCTTGTTTGTTGTATTTGGTCTCAGACTATTATAGACCATATTTTCTAGACTTGTATTGAGATTAGATGCTCATGTACTCA